TTTAATATAAAAAATAAAAATTTTATATTAAATATATTATCTTTTTAAAAAATTAGTATTAGTGGGCCTTGGGATTTAAAAGTATGAGTTTGGTGGTCCCTGAGGTCCAAAAGGTTGGCAACCCCTGTTGTAAGCCACCTTGAGTCACCACGGTGAATAGGTGGCAATACAAATCTAATAAATAAATGAATAAATAAACAAATGAGAAAAGATCAGAAGACACAGTTTACTTAGATCTCTATGAAATGCAAATTAGAAAATAGACAAATACTGTAGATGAAAGAAAAAATAGAAAGGGAGGCCAAATCCCAGAGCATTTACTATTTGTACAGTAAGATTACTGTACAAATAATAGGATATGGTACAAGCATCTTATAAATATATATCTCAGATAACCAATCCAAGTATGAAATACTAAAGAACATATATTGGTATTTTATTGTGATTATTAGACACACAGTTCAAGTGATCTTACCTAGCCTCCTTTTCAGACCAACCGTATTGCTTTGCAGAAACTGAAACTTCATAACGGAGCTGTTTGGCTAAATATTCAATTTCAGGGTGCAGTTTTTCTAACTAGCTGAAAAGACACAGAAATCTTAGTTATATAAAGTATATATTTTCTCAGATATCTTCTAAAGATATATGCTTCTCCTAGTCTCTAGGTCAGCACCTTAACACTACACTATACATCATGTGACATTTTTCACACGATTTGTGTTAAGGATATCTTCCCTTCTAATGGAGGTTTTAGTGTATATCATAAAATACAAACAATGAACAGGAAAATGAGAAAAGGGAAAACTGGCTAAAATTAGAAGAAATTTAGAGGGCTTCTGGAAGATGACAAATAGAATGAATACACTAAGAAAAAATATTATGCACAATAAAAAAGAGAAAAAAAGGAAAAGGAAAAGAAGAAACACAGATATTTATCCAGACTAATGAGACCTTGGTTATAGAATTAAACGAAATATATTCCATAAATCTCAATGCATCTATATCTGCATATCACTTCATGTATTTAGTACTATTTCTAGATGAAGCAAAGTGAATATTACTCGCTAGAAGCTCAAGATGTGCCCACATGGATGCAAATCCAAAAAAATCCGATTAATGATCATGCAGGTTCCACCCTCTTTGTGCTACACCTCTTTCACAAGTACATAAAGCTCTTAGCAGAATTTGGACTGATTGTCTAGATTTTACTGTCTATATGCTGTCACAATTCAGCACCACTCAGTGCAAAAAACGTGCACTTTCTTCGGGAGCATCACCTGTTCCTTTAATATCCACGTTTCGTATTTAAGAGCACATTCTGTTAAGGAGACGAATCCCCTTCTGCAAGTGCTCAGTGGCAACCCCTCCTTTTAGAACTCACGCGGCTGACGACGCGCTTCTGGAGGACGCTGAGAGGAAGGGTAAGGCCAGTGCGCAGAATGGCGGTAGCTGCCAACACTGTGGACCACCAGGGCAGCCCGGATGCGGCCTGCAGAGCTATCAAGCCCGATTCTACCGTCGCGACAGGTACCGACGAAGAGAGCGTTTCATACCAGGTCCCAACCCAGGAAGGGTCTCTGTGGCTTTCTTCGACACCCCCGGCGGGCGCAGGCACACAAAGGAATCGAGCTCCCCCACGACGGTAAAGGACGTCGAGGCAGGAGCGGGAGCGCAGCCCGTAGGCGACCCTAACAGCCATTCTACCTCCAACAAAAGACACCATCTTGCTGGCCAGAATGCGCATGCCCTCAGACGAAAAGTCGCTTTGTCGCCAAGGCCTAGGCTAATGTTTGGCTGGGTAATTCTAGGAATTGAAGCCCGCGCATCTTAAAAGTTGCAAAAGATTAAGGAACAACAGGCGTTAGCTTTTTAAAGTTCCGGTTCCGGTTCCGGTTTTTGAAGGCTTCTTTGGCGCTTTGCTTGAGCGGAAGTGGAGGACCATAGAGTGGATGGTTAGTTTTCAGAGGTGCTCATCTGTGCATCTCTTCCTTTTCCTTTTTTTTTTTGTCACATGGAATCGCTTTGGAGGAAGAATGAGCTATTCTGTCTCTGCGATATATTATCTATATTCCCTATCTCTACATTAGCCCCAAACTACAGAAAGTTATCCTCAAGGAAAATGAGGATTGAAATGAGCGTGAAATGAGCGAGAAGGGAGAGACGAGCCTCTTCATAAAGTCACATTTGATGATTACTATTTCTAATACGGAACCTCCCTTATTTTCTATGCTGATGCGCACTTTTGATTACAAAAATAAGCAGAAAAGAAAAAGATACGCATCTTATCATACCAGTTCAACCATAATAATTTCCAGAAGGATAGCAATGTTAGGGGACGTTTTAAAATCTTTATAGGCCTAGGCACATTTTTCTTTATAAATCGAAACAAAATCCAGGAAGATGCTCCTGGATTATTGTGTTCTGCATTACTGCCATAAAAATTACAGGATCACATCAAATCTCCATTAGCTGTTGTTTAATTTGATTTTTTTAAGGATGACATTTTAAAATCAATAGTGACAATATATCCTGAGAATAGAATTGTTTCCCTACAGTCACTGAAGTTAAAATTTACTATTGTTTTTTTAACTTTTTAAAATCACCCCCCCCCCTTTTTGTTGTAAACTGCCCAGAGTAGCCCCATGGAAAGTAGCAAATAAATTTAACCATAAAGAAAACAAATACTTTAAATTGAGTGGATGGAATTGGGGGTAAGTAGACTTTGTTTCTTCATTAGAGGCTATGAAGTTAGGTTAAATATACACGGAAGCAGCCCTGTTCAGAGAAGTAAGGTTTTTTGATAGCTAAAGCAGGAAGTTAGAGGAAGATATAATTTTCAGATGGAGAAAAGTTCAGGATTGTCAAGATGAACACTTCCTTGACTAATTTAATCAGTTATTAACACCCGCAATGTAAGTAATAGTGGTGGTTCATAATCATATTTATTTAATTTATATTGCCGCCTATTTGCTCATGGCGACTTGAGGTGGCTTACACAATGTAAAATCATATTTAAAACAAAAAATAAAAAACAATGAGAGCTGCATGCCAGGATATTTGTGAAATAAATAAAATCCCTCCATTTTAAAAAAAACATTCTAATGTTAACTACTGCTATTGTTTCTTAGATTAGCAAATGACACACAGATTACCAGATGTTAAACATTCTGCATTTCTAACATGACTAATGATTAAAGCTGGTCCGTGGTTCATCTTTGGAGGGTATAGTTGGTCTATTTGGGAGTTTATTATGGTCCATCACACAGTCAGCCAGGAGTTCAGACTGGATTTGGCATGTTTGGCTATCAAATCCTTTCCCAAGTACCTACATAAGCAGATGTAAATGTTTGTTGGTATTACAGATACTGTGACAGATATAAGCTATTTCAAGCCTTTTGCAATTGACTGATGGTGAATTTGTCAATGCTGATGGTGTTTGTGGTGCTCCTTTTTTGGGTAGATATTATTGGTACTATCTTATTTTTTTTTTGCCGCAATCATTCTGTTTCTGTTTGCAAGTCTTTGTATTTTGTTTTCTCTGGTTCCTTTTCTTCTATTCTGCTGTCTCCAGGTATTGCCACATGCACTATCCAGATTTTTTTGTTTTTCTTATTGACAATTGTTAAGGCTGGAATGTTATACAGCAACTGCCTGTTTGAATTCTAAAGTCACAGAGCAATTTAGCTTCATTTTCTAGTTCTTGTTTGCAGGCAAATGGTATTTCTTGATCTTCCAATAATTGTTCCCTTTGTCACACCATTGTTTGTAGTCAATCTGTGCAATCTTCTTGTCACTTGCTGCCTTGTCAATTCTGGCTTTGTATGCATTTGTTAAGGCTTGGTCTTGTGCAGCCAGAATTAGGTTCTCTGTCTCTTTAATTTTCCTGCACTTGGCCATTGCCAGGTGTTGTTATCTTCTTTACCTGTTTTTTATAATTTACTGGCCATGTAATACTTCATGTTCCCATGCCACTTTTCTGTTTTTATAATTAAAATTATAATAAAACTAAATAAAAAGTTTAAACAAAGCGAAAGTAAAGATAATAAATCAATAAAATAAAAATATATAATAAAAAGAAAATGCATTAATATGACTAGTAAAAATGGGCATGTGGGGAGATGGAGTCTGCTTCAATCTAGCAGCTACCTCCAGAGTTCAACTCTCCCATTAGATCTCCAGGCCAAATTTCAGAGCCAGGTCTTTAGGCTCCTATGGAAGGAGATTGAGGGCAGATGTTCCAAAGAGCAGGTGCTGTGGTAAAGAAGGCTCTTCTTCTGGATCTCAAAAATTGGAATTCTTTATGATAAAACTTTGGAGACATCTATGCTTTCCTGCCTATCCAATTGACAGTGGGTTATTTTAAATTTTATAAAACTGCCTAAAAATGAGTCTTAGTAATAATGTAGAATCCTTAAAATCATTAAGCTTTATCTATACAACTTAAACATTTTTCATTCTCTTAGAAGTACAGAATAGGAAGCATTTAGATGATTAAAGCCAATCCCTGCTTGTTCAAGAATCTAAACTGAAGCATGCTTTGATCTCGTGCATCTCTAGTTGTGTTCCTTCTAATATGTATCTGTGTGGTCTGTGTTAATATTTCGTAAGCATATTAGAAATACATTCTTTCTAATATATTGGACAATTTGATGCGAGACTAAGGGGCTCAGCATGGATTAGTTTATAGCTAAACTGACTAACGGAATGGACAGAATAGCCTCTTCCAGCAGTCTACGGGTATGTCAACATGTGGAAATATGGGTAAAATCTCAAATTGTAAAAAGTTGATTTAGTTCAATTTTGTGCAGTAGTTTCATTAGAGCATCTCCACGTGATGTGTCATCAACATCCATATCACGACATCAATATGTATTGAAAGGACATAGGAAAAGCACATTTTGTACATGAGGTCTCAGGCAGAGAGCAGATCAGGAATTTAATTTGGAATTAAGACAGCCCGCAGTATTTTGGCTATGGCAGTGGATTAATTACTACCGTATTTGCCGGCGTATAAGACGACTTTTTTGCCCTGAAAAACATGCCTCCAAGTGGGGGGGTCGTCTTATACGCCGGGAGGACTCCGACTCCCACTTCGAGCTTGAGTTGCAGCCGGGAGGGAGGCTGGGGGGGAGCGGTGTGTGTGTGTGTGTGTGTGTGTGTGTGTGTGTGTGTGGCGGGTGTCACTCGCCACGCGCTGCGCAACCTTTCCCCCTCTTCCTTCCTTAGCGGTGTGGGGAGGAGAGGATTCGAAGATCCTCACGTGCGGCGTACTTTTCTTTTTCTTTTTTTCTTTTTGCACGCAGGTTTTGCATGCGGGCGGCTGTAGGTTAAGGATGGGGGAGCCCCCGGGTGGGTTATCAGGTTTTACGGTGCTTCCAACATGTGCGAACGGTGGGAGAGCGGAGAAGAGAGCGAGCGAGCGCCCCGCTGTGTGAAATCCTGCCGTCAAAGCAACACTGGGGGAGGCAGGGTATAAATTTACCAGGTTAATGTAGCAATGGTGATTAATGCCCAGAACATTGTTTGCGGGTATTGGGGTGTGTGTGTGTGTGTGGTGGTGGTGAGGAGAGGTTGTCCTTTGAATGCGGAAAAGTAGGTGTGACCTTGTGTAGGAAAATAAAGAGATCCTTTTTAGCGTGTTTGGCTTCTTTGCCTCCCCTCGTTCGTTTTGACGTGGAGATAATGGCCTTCGGGCGGGAGGGGAAGAAAACGGTAGCTGGATCATTTCAAATTTCACTTACTCTCCTGCCTCACTTCAATATGTCTGAGCGACTCCAGATACTGGAAGACTTTTTGAATGAAAGTGTTACCTCCATTTTTTTTTTTAAAGAGGGCCACTTGGGGAAAAAAAAAGATTCTAAGGAATTCCTTGTTTCTTGATTAAAGAGAAGGCATTGAATATACTGTTCCTTGGCAGCCTTTTCAGTGTCCGGGTTTTTGGTGTGTGTGTGTGTGTGTGTGTGTGTGTGTGTGTGAGAGAGAGAGAGAGAGAGAGAGAGAGAGAGAGAGAGAGAGATCAGCTGTATTGAGAAGAGAACGTTTCCTGTGTTCTCATTTTATTTACAACATATTTTACGCTTAATGGTAAGCAATGAAAAATATTTTTAAAACTCATTTCTAAACTCCATAGCTATTTGCATATTCTTGGTTCAAAATTGGATTAGCTCATTTCAAAATTGTCCAAAGCAGAAAAGTGCGTCAAAAAAAAAAAAAGTGCAAAAGTGGAAGGTGTGTGGAAGAGGGGGTAGTCTTATACGGCGAGTATATAACAAACTCTATATTTTGAGTGGAAATGTTGGGGGGTCGTCTTATACGCCCAGTCGTCTTATACGCCGGCAAATACGGTATATATTCAAAGATTTATTATTTTCTTTTTAGGTTTCAGTAAAGAAGGAATACTTTGCTTTTTTTGTAAACTCAATTCAATCTTAGTGGCATTGCTCTATGTGTATGGAATTATGGAGAAGATCAGCCTTCAAATGTTTAAACCTCACAAGTTCAAGAGCTGAAGAAAAGAAATTACCAACAAAAACTGAGAAAAATACTGTTTAAAAACTGTGTATCAAGTGTAACTGCTTCTATATAGCATGGAAGATTACTAGCAATATAAAAAAAGAAAGCCCTAAAAAGGGGGCCTGTCCAAAAGTTGAAAAAACAAGATGTTTAGGCTACGTCTATTAAAGTTGTGATTATGATGAGGTTCTTTACATTTTAAAAAAAATTAAATGTTTTGCTTTTGTATGCACCTATTACACTCATGCCTTGCAGTTTTATCCATTACTTAAAAGTATTTTTGATAACCAGAACTGTACTTAGCTAAAACTAGCATTCAGAGTTATGTAAGAATGGGGTAGTACTGTTTTTCCAAATTTAAAAACCTGTGAATTATGCATTGAGCTATCCAGAGTTCCGTATTTTATTACTTAAATATATACCTACTTATATACCATATATTGCAAATAGTCTGAGAGTGTGTTTCAAAATAAAGACCTAGAAGGTCTCAAAAAAAGAACATGTTCCTTGTCTTTATTGGTCAAGTATGCATTACATTTGAAATATAAAAAGTGTTCCAAAAATGTTCCTAATACAGACTTCTAGCATCCACCCGCCCAGGATTTTGACAAGGCTTATTTAATAAAAAAAGACATGGAGTGTTTCAGTCTGTTCTATTAATATTTTTGCTTTCAAGTCAACAAAATACAGATCACTTTAATAAGAAACCACATCCGAGGAAACTTAGCTGAACCTGACAATATATTTTATTGTAATAAATACTAAGCAGCAACTACTCTGCTGAAGGATTATTTAAAGAAGCAAAAAATAATCCTAATTAGCTGTAGTAAGCATAAACTAAAGATAGTTGCAAATATTATATAAAAGTTAAATAGCATTATTCCCCCACCCATTAAAGTGCTGAAAATTAGGTTGGTATGTTTTTCTCCTTTCCATCAACAGCTATTTGGTTAGACATTCTTTTTGCTACAACCAATTCCAAATATTTCATTACATATAATAAGATAATGGAAAGGTTATTTTAAGAGCACCAATAGAGGGCATTACACAGACAAACTTATTTATTCATGAGTCTTTCAACATTTTTAAATGTGCATTAACAAGGCTGCAGGATTCTTTGGGAAAGTGATTTTTCTTGCTGGCTTTACACCTGAAACAGCATTTTAGAATTTATTAAAAACAACTGGTCTAAGTAATCTTAATTTCACTTGTCTAACTCTTGTGTTGAACCACTAACACTATTATTTCTGTAGGAGTAAGCCCCACTAAATTGAATGGCACTTACTTCTGAAATGATATGTCGAAACTTGCATATGAGAAACAACTGCTACTGTAACACAGTTCATTTCTTTCAACTAGCAAAGAATAGAGACAGGCCTCTTTGTATTCTCACATGCAATACTTGCTATGAGGACAGTTTATAAAATTTAAATCTACATATCACATATTCAGAAACATACCAGTTATTTAGATTTTAGAAGTACGTGGGACAGATGGTAACAATTATAATTAATTGTCACCATTTGTCACAGGTATTTATAAAATCTTCTAGATTGGAATAGATTATTTGCCAATTAGTATTGCTTCCTTTTAGGCAGTGGAAGTAATCCAGAGTCACATTATACATTAAGATATGGCCTCCTAATTTCAGAATACATTATTCCCTTGGCATGATAATTCAGTATCTTCTAAATTCAAGCCATTTCTATCGCAGAAAACAATGGCCAATTCATTCCGACTGATTTTTTTAAAAATCCCTTGCCAGTTACTAATAGACAATATAAAGCTAAGGAGTATTTTCAAACTAGTTGCAGACAGTAATTTTATTAACCCATCTTTGTAATAATCTGGTTAGACTATATCTTAACATAGAAATGCATTAATATTGAAGGGGGGGAGCTTTGGAAGTGCTTTAACATAATGATTAAGGATCTGTGTGTATTTTTGTATTCAACATTTATAGAGTAGTTGGGGAAGAATTTTGCATAAATGTCCTATTCAATTTATAAAATTAAATTTATAATGAATAAATATCAAATCTCATTGTATAAACATAAGGTTATGGAAAAAACTCAAAAATAATGCCCATTTTATGAATATTTAAAATTACACAACTAGAAAAGTAATCTTTATTAATATTTTAATGTATGAAGAAAACATCCAGACTGCTGTATATGAAGATACATCTGTCACATTAAAGTTGAGCCTCTATACTGACATACCGGAAAGATTTGCCTTCTGCTATCCATTTCTGTTATGTAAACAATTGTACATTTATCTGCCATTCTAAAACATCAGGATCATGTTTACATAATTTTGCTAAATTTCTGTGTATGCCCAAAAGCAGTTTACAGTACTAAAAATCAACCAACCAAAGAACAGCCTCAACATAAAGTTATGTCCAAAATTAATATCAAGAGTGAAAGAAAATGAAACTAAGAGGCTAAGATGAACCACATCTGGAAGGCAATGGGCAGTCATAATGTTCACAGAGAAGTGTCAGTATGTTCTTCTGAAAAGCCTACACGCTTCAGTCCAATACAACCAAAAAATAATTTGAAAGCTGAGGAGAACTGTTTTTGCCATCTGTAGTCTCCTCAAAGCCAAAAAAAAAAAAGTCTTCAAGCTATTGAAGGTGATCTGCATTTAACCAAGCTGGTTCATATGCACACTGCTTATATGTGGTGCCCATGTTCCTGTCCAAACCTGGGGAGGAGAATAGACATTTTAAACTTCAGAGCTTTCATTATCAAATAAATAAACAAATAGAATTGTAATTAATTCCCACTTAACATATGTAAATTATTATCTCAATTTGTTACTCTTTAAAGTAAAATATAAATACATGGAATGTTCTTTAGCTCTTTTGATCCATTTGGAAATTGATGTGCATGCTACTTGTATATCATGTAAAACATTACAACCACTTTTATCTATTCAACCCATTATTCATTATCAATAAGAAATTAACATTTGGACTAAAGCTGCTACTTTTAAAAGTCTCCAAAATCAAGAAATATTGAATATTAAGAATAAAAATACAGGGTTTTTATGCCCTCAGAGTATCCTATTCCCTTCTCACCTAAATATCCATTCTTCTATGATATTTTTACCCACTTGCACAAAATGGCCTGATGAAACTGCATTATTAGCTCAAACTAAATTGCCTCAATTTTTAGATTGTTGGTACAAATCATATAAATATTGTTTAGGCAATATATATGCCACATACAAATGTCTTCCATAATCTGTCACTGGAATACTATTAACTCTAGGAATTAGGAAAATTAGATGTAATGCTGAGACACATTACAGACAAAGACTAATAAAGCTTCTCTTTTTTCCAGTACTGAAAGGGGACATTTGTCCATAAATACTAATCTGAAATATCCTTGATACTTACTGTCTGGGGGCCATTAGTCTCTGCAGAATTTGAAACCATCTTTATCAACGAATTCCAAGTTGGGTCACCAGCATGAGGCCCATTAAATATGGGCCCACCAGTACCATCTGCTATGGGTGCAACAGGAGGAATCATTGCATTCCCATACACCGAAAAGGGCATGCCCTGTCAAGAACAGAATTGTGAATTATTTAATCATCTCTTCACATAGCAAAAAAAAAACAAACCCAAAACCCTATTGTATTCCTGGTTTTAGATATATGCATATTTCAGGAGAATTTTATATTATAAATTGTCTGCAATCTAATGATCTTAATTTATTACATGTGCTAAAAACATGAGAATTCCTAAATTAATGTCTCCTGATTTTGCAATTGGGGCAGTATATAAAAATTAAAAGTACATATATCAATATGTGAGAATGTTTTATAAAATTACTTCTTGATACATGTAAGAAATATTTAAATATTAACAAAGTAATTGGTATATACTCATTTCTTAGCTATTTAGGATTTCTCTAGACACAATAGGAAACTCAAAGACATACCAATTGTCATAGCAAAACCAACTGAAACTTAACATTTGTTAACGTTTAAACAAGAAAAACCATTTAAACAACAAAAACCTGGCCAATTATCTAAATATTAGGTTACCCCAACTTTAGGGAAGTCCATGTATCCTGCAGGAACGTGCTGATGGAATGTACCAGAAGGTGTTACAATTCCTGTGCTGTCTCGCTCCATTGACTGATGTGAGAATACTCCTGGATCAGACATTGGCCGGTGAATCATATGGTTTCCCATTCCACTGTGACACCAATCTACTTTATCTAGAAAGAAAGAAAAGAGTACAACTATTAATATATTCTTATTTATGTTATCACTGAATTTCTAATATAATCTATACTGTGATCTAAAAACTGAAGAAAAAGTCACTCTGCTCATTTAGCCTCAAATAATATGTCACAATAAGATTTAAAAATTAACTTTTTAAAGTAGGACATGATTAAACCACTGTGAGAGGAGACCACTGTCAACTATTGCTACCTTCTCCATCTCAGATACATCAACAACAACCAAGTTACCTACACCTGACTCTATCCCTCTGGGCCCCTCACCTGTGGTGATCCTAGAAAAAGAGGTACAGGGTCTATTTCGCAGACAAAAGTCAGGAAAAGCACCAGGCCCAGACAAGGTAACTCCTTGCTTGAAAGTCTGTGTGATCAACTGGCCCCATCTTCATCTGCATCAAAATCTCCATTCAATTAGCACTGGAGCCTCCATACCGCATGTTCTCTCCATTACTCTTTTATCTATATACTAATAGCTGAATCTCAAAGGATCCCTCTGTTAAATTACTGAAGTTTGCCATTGGTCTCATTCGAGATAATAATGAGTCTGCATGCAGATGGGAGGTAGAACAATTGGCCCTGTGGTACAGCTGGAACAATCTGAAGCTGAACAGTCTTAAAACTATAGAGACTATAGGCACAACAAAGAATGATCTTTCTGCTTCAACTGAGTCTGTCATTTGTACCTCTGTAACTGTCTAGTTTGGCACAGCCACCAAGCAGGACAGGTAGTGACTTCAATGGATAGTTAGGACTGCAGAAAAAACAATTGCAATTTGCCTGTCTTCCACTGAGAACCTGTACATTGTGTGAACTAGAAAGAGGGCAAGAAAACATCTACAGACCACTCACATCCTGGACGTAAACTGTTTCAACTTCACAATAAGGTATTGCATTCCAAAATAGCTAGACACGAAGATAGTTCCCCTCCTCCCCCATGCCATCATTCTGCTAAACACCTAACTCCACTCTTATGCCTAAAGATATTAGTAGATATAAGTAGTAGGCTATATTGTTGTTATCCTTGTCATCTCATCTTTCCATCCTTCTCATCTTTCCTACTATCTGCTCCTTTTGATATCTGATGATTTATCACTTGTATCTTATGATTTATGATCTACTAGCTGTGCTTTGTTATGAAACTGTGATCAGGCTTAGTTATATAAGGGGAAAAATTCTCTCTTTCTATCAGCATCCATCAGTATTCACCTGGCTAGCATCTATCAGTGTGTGTGAGAGAGTTGAGGAATGTTTGGAAACTGAAACAGTATTTGCTGTGGGAGCAAAAAGGAGATAGCAAAGAGCCTGGGCATGGTTAAGCTCAACTGTTTTGTACTAAAGCTGGTTGCTGCTGTGAAACTGAAACTCTTCTGCTTGTGTTTTGCATTTAGAACAGGTTTCTTTTCAGGTGGGGAGGGGGAGTAGAAATCCTTAGCATCAGAGCATGTTTATAATAATATACGAAATACTAGTGTTCTGATTGTCATTTCAAAAAATCCTTTCTTAGTGAGCACCTAGAAGCCAAGAGGAACATACATGCCAAATTTCAAGTTTGTAGGCTTTATGGTTCTGGAGATTTTGTGATGATGCGAGTGGTATTTCCCTTTTATATATATAGATGACTTATTGTGTTATTTGCATTATTTATATATACACTGAGAGCTTATGCACCAGAGACTAATTCCTTGCTTGCCCAATTACACACTTAAGCAATAAAGAATTCTATTCTATTCTAATAAATCTGTAATGGCATTAATTAGCTATTTAATATGGAAATACCAAAAATCAACACAAGCATTTCTGAGAGAAGCATCTATTTTTAACATTTAAATTATTCATTTTCTAGATTTTGTTTTGATAATACATTATTGTAAGATGAGCAGAAGACAATACATACCACCTTGATTTCCTCCTAGTCCTTCAAAAGACCATATACCACTATGACCAACTGGAGCAGCTAAGTTACTCCCTATAACAGCAGGTGTAGATGTTCCTGTTTGCCTAATACGTGCAGAACGCTCAGTTCCAATTGGAACAGGAACCTTCCTGTCTTGAGATATATTGCTGGACTTTTCTGACACGATGGAAACAGCTGAAGGGGTTGGAGATGGTGCTCTCACTCCAGCAGTCATTGGTTGAGGAGATGGCTCTAAGAGCAAATAGGTATGAAGAGAGAATTTGCTGTGAATATTTAAAAAAACAACCTATCTTCCCAATACTTGATTTTATCCCAGACTCAATAAAATGAGTAACATGAATTAAACATTAAGTAATAACAGTTGCAAACAGATGAATCATGATACCTGAGACTTGATATAACAGTAACAGCTTGTAATTTTTATGACATGCTCTTTAGGGCAAATATACATAGAAGTAATCACTGGAGAGACTTGTCACAGTACCGTTTTGCAAACAGTACAATCATGATTCTAGAATTCAGCTTACCTGAATAAAACTGTAAAAATATTTCTTGGGTTATTAAAACTTAACTGCAGCTATTATCAATTAACTTTATTCGACTCCTAAGATAAGAAATCTGCTAGGAACCTTAAGATATTTGATTATGCTATTAAAGAATGAAACAAACCCTTACCGTTTGATGCAGAGGAACATGAAGGCAGTAAGTTGAGTGGGGAAAAATGCTGTCTATTAAAATTAGCAGCTGTTGGTGCTCCACCCAATGCAGTTCCTGAAGCATATACTTGGCCACTTGAAAGATTTGAGGCAAAGTTACCCAAATGTGCAGAAGAAGGTGTAATAGAACCATAAGGTGAATCCAGACCAACAATACCTGTAAAATTATGTGTAAAACATCACTTTCCAAGAAGAACAATGTGCATAAATGCTGGTATTGGCATAACGCATAATTTGCTTATTCAATAATGTTAGTAGTACTAATATATTTCTGTATGAATTTTTTACTTTGAATTTTATATATACCAATAAATCCGTTTAACCACTTATAATCATCAAGCGGATGATCACATGATCTACTCGACTTGCATATCAAAATGTCAGTAATCAACAATCAACCAGATTTCACTTTCTAAAACTTCTAAGCAAATATATCTTTGCCTTGCAAACTGATGAATCATAGAACAAAACAGTGTTAATTTTAGTTGTTAAATTGGGGCTAGGAATGGAAAAAAATTTTTGCCAGGGAATATTTGCTAGTTTAGATAGAATTTAGCATTTGCAAAAACCTGAATTTTTTCAAATTTCTCAAAACATTATTGGAATGAATTTTATTATGTTTATGTTCTGGATGACACCTGATCATATTGTGCAATATTTAGAATTGTTGGGGGGGGGGTGTTGTTTGCCGCTACTGTTGCCAAACAAATTTAGTTGCATTTTTTTACGTCCATGCCATTTTTGTTTTATTGTATACAAGAATATGTTAAATAGTACATAAAAAACAAGGCTTCTGCTCTATGGATATTAACTCTACAAGTTAGTCCAGACAAGAAGCACAACAAGGAACATCAGCACTATCTTTATTATAAGGTTACATTACAAAAAAACTTGCAAGGCTGACTAAAAGTATTACTCATATGAAGAACAGTTGCAGGAACTGGGCTTGGCTAGTCTGGTGAAGAGAAGGACCAGGGGAGACATGATAGCAGTCTTCCAATATCTGAGGGGCTGCCACAGAGAGGAAGGTTTCAAGCTATTTTCTAAAGCACCTGAAGGCCAGACAAGGAATAATGGATGGAAACGCAACAAGGAGAGATTTAACCTGGAAATAAGGAGAAACTTTCTGACAGTGAGAACAATCAACCAATGGAACAGCTTGCCCTCAGAAGTTGTGGGAGCGTCATTACTTGAGACTTTCAAGAAGAGATTGGACTGCCATTTGTCAGAAATGGTGTAGGGTCTCCCTCTTGTGCAGGGGGTTGTACTAGATGCCCTACAGGCATGTTATCTGTTATCTGTTACTCCCTTCCTCTCTAGGAAGGGTCATTTCTCAAACACTTCCTATGCTTTTCCCCATTTGTGAACTGGGCTGCACAAGACCATTGTTGGGATGTGACTCTTCCTCCAGTCTTCCAAGGTCATTCCTACATACCATAACAATGGAATAAGGAATTGTGGATGCAATATATTTGTGCCAATTTCAATTTATGAAATGAATAATTAAGTTCCATCATGATCTCAAAATTTCCATCCCATCAACCTCACTTTGTTCAAACTATTGAACAAAGTTCCCTTTTTTTGATAGAGCTCTTTAGCAAATGGGTGACTATATGAATTTCACACACACACACACACACACACACACACACACACAGTAATAGTAAAATTACACAATAGACAATCTATATGCTTCCAACTTCCATAGAGAACAGACCATTACATCCATCATATATCTTCTGACCCATTATATAGAGATACTCACCTAATAGAATTAAACCAGACTTCAGGAAACAGAATTACCCTCCTCTTAAGATCAACAGACTAAATAATACAGCCAGATCAATTCTGAGAGTAGATCATCGAGCAGACTACCAAGACAGAACAACAGTTAGAGCTCACAGCTAGAGCTCAATTTAAATGTGTTGCTTAATAAAATATAATTATAATATGCAACAGCACTGCACCTTCTCAGGCACCATCAGCTTTGCGAGGTAGTCCAGACAAGAAGCATACTCAAAAGTACTAGCTCTAGCTTTTCAGTAACGTAAGACTATATTAACAGAGTCTTGCAAATCTGAAAGTACATCTTTCTCCTGTTGCCTTTATAGTCCAAGAAATTAAAGAGGGTCCCTTCTAAGGTATTTGTCACACCCCCATTTGTTTTGATAGTTCAGTTGCCACTTTTCTTAATATTGTTTAGTCTATGGAAGCTCTTCCTCTGGTTTCCTAAAGTCATTCCAATTTGCTATTGCAGGCGCCGTTTTGTATCCATCTCAAATACAGACAATCACTTAAACTGAAATGAAACCGAAGCAGATTTTCATAATCAACCAGAAAGAACAGGACAATGGTGCAATATGGGAACTAGATTCTACCACAAACTCAGGTTTCTGATTTGCTCCTAAAATTATACCAATACATCACAAATCCAAGACTACACACACAAGATTAGAAGCACCTAATTTAAAAAAAAAACCTTTAAAGATAATACCCAACAGTAGATGAATCATAAACCTTTAGCTTTTAGTTTTGTTAACCAGATTGAGTTATAAAACTCAGTATCATTCATATAATGATGTCTATTCCTGTTATAGAAGATGATCTTACTCAGCAGCCTCATATAGATATTAAACAGAATGAATGGCAATCCATCAACCAGGCACTTCAAAGCTTGACCTCTTCTCCACTGACACGGGGAAAGGAGAACTATGGCAGCACTGTGTTTATTATTTTCAACCCTCCGTGGTTTGAAAATGGTTCTCTGGTTAACTCCAGTTGAGAAAGTTAAAAATGACAGTATCAAAGGCTGCTGAGAAATCAAGGAGAACCAGGATGTATTCACTGCTCCCATACTGGCTCTGCCACAGTGCAATCAATGTCATCTCTGTACAACACCCTGGCCTGAAACTAATTTAAATGGGTCCAGATCATCTGCTTCTTCTGAGATCATCTAAAACTGCAGCTATACCACCTTCTCAATCATTTTTCTTAAAAAGAGAAAGTCAGAGACTTAGGTGTAAATTGCCCAAAATAGTTGGGATTGGTAATGGCTTCTTGAGGTGAGGTACATTATTTCCCCCTTTAAGACAAATGGAACCATCTCCTCCCTCAAAGATGCTTTCACTGCCAACCAAGATGGATACAGAGCTAACAAACTTGTAGCTAGGTTAACAATCCCATTGATCCTGTTAACTTCCTTAATAGTCAGGGGATCGAACCTTTTCCAGTTAGTAGGACAGGACAAGACTCTGCCTCAGTCAACTTAACTGCACATGCACAGTCCAATCTAATTCAGTATGTATCCAAGTGATTTTATTTATCAGCTATCTAGTACATTCCTAAAGTAGACTTGTAGATGTTCACAGGGGCCTTTCCTCCCCAGCAATGGTCACTTTAAACCAAGCTACTAGCCAGTTATCTGGAGATGCAACAAGAGTGGAAAGAGTGTAATAAGAGTAGTTTTTCTACCCAACTTATCATCACCATAATGTAATCTTTAATGTTAGCTGTCAAATGGAAGTAGTCAAAAATGCTCTTCACCTTTTTTCAAATGTCTGTTAGTTTATTTCCCAGAACTCCTTGGAAAATCAGAATGACCCAAGATCAATAAATAGGAAAACCCAACAAAAAAAAAATCAATCACATATAAGCTCCCTAACTGGTAGAGCTAAGATCTCAGTCAAACGACCCACCCCCAGGAAAAACCTTAAGTTCTCTCTGAATCCATCAGGACCATTAGTTCCCTGGGATGGATTGATCTATTGGTTGAGATCAATCTATATTATCCATAATGCTTTGCCAATATCACTAAGTGTTTTTTTCAAATTCCCTGTACAGCTGTGAGATCTCACAATGTTTCAAACTGCATTTTTCATAAATTTGATTATAAATACTATGTCTTACTTTTTACTGATTTTCCCTGTATCTATTTTGAAGTAACAGCACAATGCTTATTTACAAATCGAAATGTATTAAATAAATAAGCCTTTAGCTAAAGAGATTTACAATATTCTTCATGTATTTTGGATGTTAAAAACAGCATGACTATTAGGTGAAATTTTTCAAGGGAAGTAAACATATTCAAAAAATATAATTTAGTGATAAATAATAATTCACTTTTTTAAGATTAGCAGATTATAATCAATCTGAGTGAACAGATAAAACCCTTTTGCAGATATATTCATGCTTCATTTTATAGCTAAACCTTTTAGAAAACGAACTTGCTTATTTGCATGCATAGCTAGAATTTGATCCCATTATTCAACAGATAGATAAGATTTTACACCAATCAGACTGCAGTCTTTGACATCCAATCATAAAACACTAAAGAGATACCGGGGATATGAAACAAGGAAAAAGGTGGACCTTATATTTACCTGAGGGATTTGGAGCTGGTCTCTGCAGTGGAGGTCTAAATCCTGGGGCTTTGGAAGTATCTAACTGATGTAATGGATCTGAATTTGACAGAAATGAAGACTTTCCAGACAATATGGATTCCGGCGTTGTCTGAGATGACAAGACAGAACCACCCCAGAATGCATGAGCTGAGGGAGGGTTATTCTCAAATAGTGTGCTAAATGGTCCAAATGGTAAAGCAGCACTGAAATTGGTGGCCATGGATTTATTTGTGGGATGGACTGAATTTTGAGAAACACTCTGAGTAGTTAAAGTGGAAGGAACTTGCACTGAAGAAGGAACACTGTGGGGTCTTTTTATGTGTGTGATGTTAAGGACTGGAACTGTAGAATTCTGAAGAGGAGTTGAATTCTTGTGCACAGGATTGGTTCCATGGGAAGATAGCCTGACAGAGGCATTTTCTATTTTAGCTGGAGCAGAAGACTGAATAGATCCTACTGATGCCTGAGACAAAAGGTAGTTTGCTGGAGAGTTCACTGAAGCATTAGCAGGAGTAACTATTGGGGCAGAAGAACTCATGGTTGTTAAATTTGGAGGTACAACCATACGAGGATCTTGTATTGGAACCTGAGGCTGTAAAGGTGGTCTTGCTTCTTGAGAAAGAGGCCCAAGAGACTGTGGTTGTCCCAGATGTTCTGAAGGAATGCCAACAGAACTATTTGACTGCCTGTTATTGGCCAAATTTACCATTTCCACAACTGGTGAACTACCCACTTCCTGGTCGGAAGATAACACCCTTTTGCTTGGAGAATTTCTTGTACATTCTGAAGGACTATTTCTAGATATCTTTGCTGACTGGGCCGGTGGTGAAGGGGAGGAAGTGGATAAAATTGGGTATTGCTCTTTGGCTGTAGGAAAAGGATATATGGCATTTGTTGTTGTTGTGCTGTTGTTGCTTGCTGTGGTTGAAATTGTTGTGGTAGTGCTGGATGTTTTCACCACAGTGACGAATAGTTGCTTTCTCACTGAGGGAGAACTGGGACTGCCATTTGCAGAAGAAACAGGCACAGTAGACACCACTGAACTTGTGGTAGCTGTAGAAGTAGAAGTCAAGGAACCCACAGAATTCACTTGACAACCACTGCTGTTTTGATTGTTATGGCGAGGCACGGCGTGAGACTTAGGTGAGTTAGTTGCTCTTGCAGGACTCAGAGGTCTAACAGGGAAAGGACCCCAAGTGGATTGAGCTGGTGGGAATGTTCCTCCAAAATGGGTCATGGGCAACCTTGGCGGACGAATCTGTTGGAAAGTCTGAGCAGCAAGCAATGCATGTGCAAATTGGGGAGGAGGGTAGGCTAATGGTAGAGAAACTGGAAATCCAGGTCTAACATTGTTCATGGGATTCTTCAGTGTTTTATGGGTACATGCTGATGACATTGCAGGCACAGAGGCTGTTGTAGCAATCTGAGATGATGATGATGGTGGTGATGATGATGATACTGCTACAGTGGCGACTTTGTTCCCAGCTACAGAACCGTGAACTGTTGTAGTGGTTGCATGTGATAATGTTCCTGTTTTGGGATAGGCTGCAGAATTTTTCAAACGATTCTTTGGAATGAGCTCATCAATTTCTTTATCTGGATCTTTAATCAGAGCATTTATAAGTTGTGTTGCTTGTCGTGTTGATTCTGTGCCTCCCCTATAACAGATGCATGAGGACACTTTTTTAAAAAAAAATCAGATACTTAAGAAAAAGAAATTTAATTACTTTATGGCAACATTTATGTTATGATTCCCTCTAATAGTGAACTCAAATGTTTGAATGCAAACATCAAAAAACATCAATTAGATATAAAATTATGCTTAGATAAATTCTAGGTACAGTGAAGTACAATACAGAAAAAGGTGCTTAATCTCAGAAAAACACAGGGAAAAATGAAAAGTTAAATTTAAGAAAGAAATGAAATGGAGAAATGAAATGTGCTCCCTGAATCTCTCATATCTTATAGGAAAGCACAGCTATCTCTCAAATTAGAATTCTTGACAAGTGGTTTCCAATAAGAAGGTAAGGTAAGGTAAGATTTTTTGACTAAAATCTGTCCCTTAACAAGGGCTCACCTAAGGCATTTATCAACTAAGTACAGAAGTAAGATCAACTAAATTATTAGAAATGAAATAAGTAGTGCCTTGGATTACCTTATTGTTATGATTCTGTCTCCTGTTTTATCTTTCTGTTTATCAATATCTATGTGTGCTCCTGTAAATTCTCTAATAGCATTGATGTTACAACCACCTCTCCCAATTACTCTGGAAATAACAGTTGATGGAACAGAAACCTTCTTTGATCTAAAAACAAATGAACAAGAAAGTTAATTACAACAGCAAACTTAGGATACAATAAAGCAGGATTGTTTTGATTTTCCAAAAACTGTACAGCCTGATACGTAGGCCATGGTATAAAATTACTGATATTTTAATTCAAAGATGATTATTTAGAAAGTTGGAAAGTCATTTTTATGATAAAGAATTTCTGGTCAGCTCCTAACTGCAAAGATATACCATGCAATAGTGAGAATGTGTTTCAAGAGAAATTACTTGAATAGCCATTCACTATTTCCTTACTGAGTCAGCAACATTGTGCTGAATGGCTCCAAAGTTGCTTTTTTCAAAAGGCAACTGGACTTTCTTGTTTTTCTTTGAAGATGTTTTGCTTCTCCAACTCTGACTGAATGGGAAGGATTTATATTCCTTGCTGAGAGATTTGCATTATTTTAGATAGTCACTGAGGCCACCTGAAGGTTTATCTGTGTCATCAGGGTCACCTGAGTAGCTACAAATGTCTGCAAGGAATATAAATCCTTCCATTCCCCATCATTCAGTCAAGGCTGAAGAAGCTTCTTCGATGAGAATCAAAATGTCATCAGAGAAAAATAAGGAAGTCCAGTTGCTTCTTGAAAAAACACCTTTGGGATAACTATGCTCTGGATGACTGAGAACCTCCATAAACATTGTGCTGAATGCAGAAAAGGAATAAGGAACAGCCAAAAAATTAAAGGGACAATGTAAGAAAAGAATACTGAAACAGAGCAAAAAGTATTTTATTTAACCCTCTTTGCATTCAAGTCATTTTATGTTTCTCCTAAATCCCATTGTTTTCATAAAACAATGTGAGCAAAATCATGCTCTTATGTGAAATTATTTTGCTGGTTTCAACAATCTTTTTCATAATACTTCACACATAACTCATCATTACATCATCTACCAACATTAGAATGTTACAAATTGTCTTAACCATTTCCTCAGTTTTCTTAAATATTCTATCAAGATTCTATATAGATTCATCTGTTTGCTCTAGCTTTTACCATTTATGAATAGTGTGGAAATGTTTAGTCCAATTTCCAAGTCAAAGTTACTTTGGTCTTTGATATATTAATTTTCAATTCTATGGTCTTCATTGTATGACATAACCTAGCATTCATTGCAAATCATTTAGGTCTTAAGCTAAGGTTAAGTTTACTAGATTTAATCATATTCATGGCATATATAGCACATTCTGCACAGTTTGGGACATTTTACCAAATGTCGCAAGTGTAACCAGACTGATTTTATTCTAGGTACTGTCAGGTTATTCTATGCAAGTTAGGCTCTTTCATTAAGGAACAACCTTGCAAGCCAATATACTGTTACCAGCATCTCACCAACAAGGAAGTATATGCAGGGTATGACACATATTCAGGAAGTCTTTATTACATATTGATAAAATCTATATGGCATTTTTCATCATTAAAATAAAACATAAGTGTTAGCAAACTTCAAATTAAATGAAGTAATAAATCATTTTATTAGATTTTTAGGTATGAAAGTAATCTAGTTTGACAGAAAAAATGTCATTACAGAAAATAAATTTTGTTTTCAGATTGTGAATATATTTTACAGCAATCCTTATGAGAAACTGTTAAAATTAGGTATAAGGAATGCATCTACTATATATTCCCTAATGTGGCTGGTAGGATTAAGCAAGGTTAAAATACATTTTCCAAAGTGGACAGGAAGAAAAATAGAAATTTGCTGTAATATAAAATTTAGCTTGCCTTCTTATAACTTCTTTCCATCCTTCTTCTCTCTTCTGACCACGTTTAGGACTAGCTAAGCTGATTTTTCCATTAGGAGAAGAGAGAGGTGATGGACAAGATTTTGTGCAAGTAGATAAGGAATTAGCAGGTGCTTCACCAATAATCTCTAATAACCTTTCAAGTAAAATGGGAAAAAGACAGAAGAGAGAGAGAGAAAAATATTTCTGTGTTAATCGCTATCACACAAATATTAAAGACAAATAATAAAAGAGAATAAAATATTCTACTGATATCCAGAGGTCTGCTTTAATTATGTTGGCATCCAAACCCTTTAAATCTATGACATATTAAAATGACTGATTTTCAGTTACAAAACACATATTTATTTAACAGCAATTAAAACATTTGATACTTAATCAAATGTTTCTATATCTCAGATATACAGAAAAATACAACAAATGAATATTACAGCTATGGTAAAGCAGAAAACTTTTAATTTTTCTGTTTAATGCTTTTTATAAATTGAAATATGCCCTGCATTCAAACAAATCAAATAATTTCCATTTAATGAGATGCATAACTTATATACCACTAAACCTCTCATCCCACAATCAAAATCAATGGGAAAGGCAGCAGGAAGTCAGAAGTTACTACTCCTCCCACTGCCTATTTGCCTACCTATGGTTGTATCTATTTTGATAAACAAATACCATACTTATTATCAAAGTTCAATGGCCACTATAAATATTTTTATGTCATATTCTCTTATTAGATGATCATGGGATATTGGAGTAAAAATATATATAGTCTAAATAATATTCATTCTGATCACATCACATCAAATTATACTACTTTTCTCTCAAAGATAGACCAACAGGTCACCTTGTCTACTCTACCTTTAGAATTAAGATATTGTTTGTTAGAAAATATGCTCCTTCAAGACAGAAGGTTCCTTCTCAGAAATCCTGAAATGGAGAAATACATGAAATAAAAGCTAGAATCCAAACACTGCTTTGACCTACTTGTCACAGCCTCTGATTATCAGGATAATTTTTGTTTCTATGTGGACAAAGGAAGCCCATAGGGCTGTTCTAGACTAGAACAATGAACACTTTGTAATGTTTTTTATATCTTTAATTATGTTTATTCTACATTAACTGATCATTTAAGGAAGATGGGTTCACACACAGTCTCGCTAATCAGTTTTAATTATAACTATTCCTTCGTTAGTGAACACACTAAGATTAGGTCTTTGTGAGCTTTTTGAACCTTTCTTGTAGATTTCCTATAGTTTGTCTGATACTTCAATGAAGGTTGAAATGTCATCTGGCCCTTATTTGTCAAGGTGAAAACCAATTTCTTTCTAGGATTCTGAAATGCACTTATACTATCTTTAAATAGTTTATTTGGTAGAAAGGCAACAGAAATATTTTAATAAACACTGCATATTATCAATCAATAAAGGAACAAAAGGGAAAGAAAATACAAGCCAACAAAAATTCAGAGATGTTACAGCATGATTAAGATTTATCAATCGTTTTGGCAATAAAACCCACAGAACCTTACTTGAGTGGAGATTTGCTAGACATTGGTTTTCGCTCTTCTTTTGGGAATGTAACAAGCACTGCTGGCTGCTTCTTGCTGTTCTGATCGTTACTGTCTGCTGTGGATGAATTGCTATCACTTTTGTGGCTGTTATTACTATTGCTGCTTTCATCACTACAGCTGGAAATCCTCATGTTGTCACTGTCACCACTTTCACTTGTACTGCTGCTTTTCGATTCACCATTTATTTTCTCTGGTTGAGAGTAGGAGATTGGAAGCTGATCATCAAACATTATCTGAACTGTATCTTGGTTGATTTTATTTTTCCTGCTTTTTCTCTTAGAATTGCTTGTAGTAACATTATTTCTTTTTCCATGGGAACCTGCCAAAGTTGTCCATGTTGCAGATATACCTATAGTAGTGGTTGTGGTAGCACTCGGGGGTTCTATTGGGACTCCTGGCTCTTCTAATTGAGAAACGAAAGAACATGATTGAAGCCCAAGCATTCCTGAAGTGTTTATCATTGTATTGGTCCACATATTTCTATGCAAATAATTTATGGAGATCTTAGATCCTGTTACAGTACCTTATTACCTAATACCTATTTATTAACAAGTAGGTTGATGTGTGAACATATAAATGTAACAATTGTACTTCTAAAAGCTGAGGAATTGAACACAAACCTAATTTACAGATTATAGAGGAAAGAATTGAATTTAGAGAACTGGTGAACAAATTTCTTTTATGGTATTCTACAAAAAGTCCAATTTAACAAACAAAATCTCTTTAAAAATTGCATGAGAATTTTAAAAATGCTCTTAATTAATCAATCAGGTTTTTTATTAAGTTAATCTCAAGAACAATTCCAAAAAGCCATTTTCTTCATTTTGAACATCAGTTCTTTGCAAAAATCACTTTAATATTTTCAGTGATTGAAATGGAAATGTATGTAACAGATTTATGATTTATAAACACAAACTTAAAAGTCACGGGGTAAAAATATTTATTTCCATCAAATCTCTATAAATTTATAGTATGGAGTTTGCTTTAATTGAATAGCTTTATTATTTAATAATATTGATTTAATCTAATGGAGATCATAGGATTTAATTATGATTTAAAATAAGCAATTTGTTACTGAACCGATGCTTAAGAGTAGATGTCAAATATTTTGAAAGGAATAAAGGGCTTTGAGTCAAAACGCATGGTAACTCTAATGCTACAGTTACCACCTTCTTCCTTTATACAGACCACTAAATTCTGTTCTTCATTCTCTAAAGCAAGGGTCTTCAAAGTTGGCAAGTTTAAGACTTGTGGACTTCAACTCCCAGAATTCCTGAGCTAACATGACTGGGGGAAGAATTCTGGGAGTTGAAGTCCACAAGTCTTAAAGCTGTCAAGTTTGAAGGTCCCTGCTCTAAAGCTTTTAAGCCTCAAAGTGCCTATAAGCACCGTAGCCTGCGAAGACTCCTGTAGATGGCATCCACTGGGCTATGGCAAAGGTGATGAGATATTAACAAATCTCATGAAATTATTCAATTGCAAGATTTTGGGAAGGAAAAGTTAAAAAAAAAACCTGTGAAATCTGATTATTTCCTGGCTGTTTCAAGCTAACTTTATGTGGCATCTATACCAGGCAACTCCAATAATAGTCATGAGTAGTGCTGTAATATATACCTTCAGCTTTTAGGTTTTTTTCCTTTTCTTGAGCAGCCTGTAGTTCAAAATTTTCTTTGTTTTTTGCCTCAATTTCTTCTAGCTTTCTCCTCTGCTCCTCTTTCTTCTTTCTTCTTTTTTCTTTTCTTTTCTCTCTTTTAGCAGCTAGTGCTAGCCGTCTACTTTCTTCCCTTAACTACAAATTAGATTAAAAACGTGATCAGAAGAACTGTCAAAAAAGAAACTGCTATCTTGAACAGATAATACCGATTCAGAGCTGGAAATAGATATAATAAGAAACATACACATGTATACCCATTTCAATAGCTTTCAATTATTATCAATATAGATTAATTATGTAATCCCTTATATTCAAATTAGATATGTGTATGCCGATAAATAACCTGAAAAAATAAGAGCTTCTCTAAAGCTGATTAATTTATGATACAGGTTGAATCATTTATTTAATTGGGTCCTCTAGTTTTAGGGTTTGTGTGGAGAATAGATCACAGTTTAGATCATATTTGTGTAGAAATATTGAAAATTCAAAGGGCTCCACAAACTTTTAACACCACTGTTCAGTCAGAAAAGCTGTGAACAAAGTGTTTATTTGTATGTAAAATTTATTTGTTATGTAAAATCAATTTTAACAACCCCAAGATAGGATGCAAGAATTTCAAATTCTAATCCAATGATTTTTGTGTGAGCTAGGACTTCCTTTTGGTCATCAGTGGGCTCTTTATTCAAATAATGCCAAGAGAGAGACATTTAAAAGCGGTAGAATTTAAAACTGCAGTATTCTGGCACAAATACAGTCACAAATCACAAAGGCTAAATAAAACTGGCAATTTTTAGACTGACTATGTAGATGGAAGGCTTACTTAGAGAAGGTGGTATTATACTTGACAGTATTATTCTCTAAGAATATTCAAATAATTTATAAAAATATGCAAAACTAATATGCAAAAAAAGTTTTCAGAGAAAAGAACTGAAATGGAAGTAATTAATGTCAGAGGGTACAGTTAGACTGGGTGGCAGTACCCTGCTGCTTGCTGATAGAAATTCATGCTTTTCAGTAACATTTTTAAGAGTGCCTACCAGTTAAAATTAAATCACTGGTTGTATTTGCAGCGCACTGAAGATTGTTGGGAGAGCAAGGAGTTGCTCACCATGAGCTGCTGAGAACTGGGACTTCATCCAACAAAATAAGCTACTGGCCTACATGCCGTTACAGTACTTACTGTGAGAGTATCTGACCAGAAGTGCACATCTGAGCAAGTGTAAAAACATCAATAGCAGGACAAGGTAAATTAGAAAATATTCCTGATTTCTTTCACTTATATTGCTTAATGGTTGGGTTGCTGGTAGTAGTTCCAGGGTAATTGATTATTGGCCAGGTTTGAGTATGTCTCAATTAGCATAGGAAATAGCTGTCTGAAAGGGTATACAAGGAACTCTTGAGTTTACTTTGTGAACTCACTAATTTTGAGAACTGACCAGAAATGTGCATCTGAGTAAAAGTATAGTTTTAAAAACATCAGTAGTTTGAAAAAGAAATAGTTCATCCTTGATAAGTGCTTGTGAGATTTCAATTTTATTTTTAGGATGTCTGGTTTGATTCACTGTAATACTCATTTTGCAGCTATTTTTTTGTGGTACTTAAGTTTGGATGTTATCCTATTTGTATGCAGATTGCTAGTTTCATGGACAGATTGCTTATCTAGAGTCTTTAGTTTGTCCTCTTCAGGCTGAAATTAGATGGCCAACTCAACCAGTATGGGTCATA